TTATGTGATTCAATGCTTGAATTACCTGTTTAAAGGACAATGTGAAAGGTGCAAGCTTATGTTGATGATATAATTATTATTGTTTCTGCAAGCGGAAGGCATAACTGCTGATGCTGATATTGACCACACATTGGATTCTGATTAGTAATTGGTCAAAACAAGTTAAATTGAAATTTCGATTATAAAATATGTGCTATTATGGGAATAGCTAAAAGAGGAAAAATGGATTACTCTTCCCGAGAGGACATATTGATGGGTTTTCTTTAAAGAGTGTTCGAGAATTAAATTATCTCTCGGCATTTTAATTAGATGATCAACTCACTTTCATTCCTCATTTGAAAAAGATTCAAGACACAGTCTTCTATTATTTTGAATAAATTATATGCAATAAAAGGTCTTAATAGTGATATAAAGAAAATTTATTATAAGAGAGGGATTGAAAGAAAAATTTTATATTCATGCGCTTGCATGGTACAAAAATAATGTTAGAATTAACAATATGTTAACTCAAATTCAAAGACTTGCCATGCTAAGTATCACTAAGTGTTTTAGGACAGTATCCTAATGCTAGTCTTATTTATTTTAAGTGGATGTGAGCCAATCTTATTTGATTGCTCAAAGAGATAGTATTTTATTTCATTTAAAACATGGCAGAAGTCATGCTCAAAGTTTTGATTTACAAGTGGATTTTTCAAATATTGAGATTTGGTGGAATAATTAATGATGTTCATCCTGCCTTACTTAACTGATTATTTATTGGGACAAGAAGGTTTCCAACTCGTGAAGGTCACGAAATTTTTACTGATGGTTCAAAGATTAGGTGGTAAAGTTGGTTGCTCTTTGTATTGCGTATTCAAATGGAGAAATTGGATGTAATTAAAAAGTTTAGATTAAGTGATAATTCTACTGTGTTTCAGGCAGAAGTCTTTGCCATTTTCAAATCTCTGGAATGGATATTGGGGAGAAATATTAAAAATGATGTTAATTTATATTCGGATAGTCAAAGTGCATTACTTGCCATAGTTTCTGGCAAATCTGCTACTAAATTGGTTTACGATACCCATGTTCTTTTGATTGAAAATTTAAAGGAAAGAAAAATTAATCTTCATTGGGTTAAAGGACATATTGGGCATGAAGGAAATGAATTTGCTGATATTTGTGCTAAACAGGCTACGTTGAAGAATTCAATTGATATTTTTCTTCCTACTTCTTTAGAAACTTTTAAAAATGTTTTAAAGAACAACATAATTAATTTATGGCAGGACTTCTGGGATAAAGACTTAAAAGACAGATATACTTATAAATTCTTTTAAAATGTCAATAAAAAGAGGTGCATTGGTAACGGGTTTATGGCCCAATTTTTAACAAACCATGCGCATGTACCAAAGTATTATAGTAGATTTCATATTAAATATTTGAAATGTCTATGTGGTGAACAAGAAGCTGATGTAGAACATGTAATTTTATGTGAATTATTGAGAAATAAGTGGCTAAAATTCTTATTATGTTTGAATAGAGAAAAAGATATTGTAAAAATATTTCAAATTGAAAAATTTAAAAAAGGAATTATAGAAATTATGAAATTTATTACTGAATTTGAAAATGTTATATTTGAGCAGACACTGTAATTTATAATTTATAATTGTTAAAATATAGAAATAATATGTGAACAAATAATCTTTTGTAAATTATTTTATGTTATCTTGTAAATATTAATTTAAGTAAATTCAAGATGAATTGTTTTGTTAGTAATTTCTTTGTATTTGTTTGATTTTGTAAAGAGAAAGATTGTAAATGAAATGATTTATTTTGTTTTGTAAAATGTTTTTGTTTAAATAAAGGTATTTGCTGGTGAGGTCAGCAAATCTTCCCTTAGAGTACGAGTACGGTATGGTGGTTTTATAAAGTTGAAAGGTTCCAATAAGCCCTGCTTTTGCCGTAAGGTAGCAGGTTTAAATATCGGTCTTACTTCTTTGTACGAAGTAAAAAGGAACTATTGTAATCGCGAAAAGCTTCAGACAGCATATTTCAACGAAAATATCCACTTTGACCGCTATCGAATGCAATTTAACGATGTTTTTGCGTGATATCTGTACGTAAGAACAGAATAAAAGACTTTTTTCCTCCAAAAAAATTATAAAACTGCTTCAAAATGAATTCTGAAGAGAATTTTTCGTGGCATCTGTACGAACTTCTGTACGTACCTACGTATCTTGCATAACTCAAAAACGAGTAGCCTCAGAATCTTTAAATTTTGTCTATAGGACTACTATAACATGTAGATGTGCACCTAGTATTTTGGTTTCAATCGGCCGCGCCAAACGTACATAAATATATTTATAAATATATGCACTCTGCTACCCGGGACAGTGATCTCAGTTTCTTTACTCTTATATGTTTGTAAATTGTACATTTTTACTTCCTTGTACGAAGTAAAAAAGGAAGTATTGTAATCGCGAAAAGCTTCAGGCAGCATATGTCAACGAAAATATCCATTTTGACCGCTATCGAATGCAATTTAACGATGTTTTGCGTGATATCTGTACGTAAGGACAGAATAAAATACTCTTTTCCTTCAAAAAAATTATAAAACTGCTTTAAAATTAATTCTGAAGAGAATTTTTCGTGGCGTCTGTACGAACGTATGTACGTACGCGCGTACGTTCGTGCGTACGTACGTATCTCGCATAACTCAAAAACGAGTAGCCTCAGGGCGTTGAAATTTTGTCTATAGTACTGCTATAACATGTAGATGTGCACCTCGTATTTTGGCTGCAATCGGCCGCACCAAACGTATATAAATATATTTATATATATATCCACTCTATTACCGGGCTCAGTGATCTCAGTTTCTTTACTCTTATATGTTTGTAAATTGTACATTTTTTGCTTTAAAAATGATTGAATTATGTTGTTTTTATCTTCCGGTTAAGGATTTTATGCCTTTAGTAAATCTGTGTGCAATATTTTTAGAATTATCAGCAATTTTAAAGTTGTTTGATTGCCGCTAAGCCTGTTTTTAATGGCGGCCATCGATGTTTACATTTGAAACAGCAGACTAGTGGATTTGTTGCCAATCTAGAGAAACTTAGATTCGCAACAACAAAGATAACGCATTCATTTATTATTACCAATTAAATCATGCTTAATTCTTTCTGGAATTTTTTCGAGGAAATAAGCGTTTGAGATTTACTTCGTAATTTTTAATACAGATATTTTGAGTTTTTATGTATTTTTGTCTTCTCGCGAAGTGAGAACTGAAATAATTAAATGAGAAATATTCAATCGTCTGTGAAAAACTGTTTCTTTTTTGTTTTGTTTGCTTAATTTCTTTTATACATAGTTCTAGCTTTATTAGAGTATTTGAATAGAACATGTAGCAACGATTAGATAATTCTTTAAATGATATACATTTTGTGCATTCTGAGTTATAATATGAATGAAATATAATACTGTTAAGTAAACCTAGCGCCAAGAGTGTCGCTATGGTAAACAAAGTGAATATTAAAGAATGCGTTTATTCTATTGTGGTTTATGCGCTGTCGGCGAAGTAGGTTTAATTCAATCTAATAAGTTTAAATAAAATGCAAGAAAAATGCGTATAATTTAATTTTCCGTACAAGGAAGTCATGTGGTGTACACATCAGATTTTTTTTCTTTAAAAATGATTGAATTATGTTGTTTTATATTTTCCGGTTAAGGGTTTTTTGCCTTTAGTAAATCTGTATGCAATATTTTTAGAATTATCAACAATTTAAAAGTTGTTTAAGTGCCGCTAAGCCTATTTTGATGGCGGCCATTGCTTGTTTACATTTGAAACAGCTGAGTAGTGAATTTGTTGCCAATCTAGAGAAACGTAGCTTCGCAACAACAAAGATAAACGCCTTCATTTATTATTGCGATTTAAATCATGCTTAATCCTTTCTGGAATTTTTTCAAGGAAATAAGTGTTTAAGATTTACTTAATTTTTAATAATTTAATTTTAATAATTAGTAATTTAATTTTTAATAATTAGTAATTTTTAGTAGAGATATTTTGAGTTTATGTATTTTTGCCTTGTCGCGAAGTGAGAACTGAATTAATTGAATGAGAAATACTCAATTGTCTGTGAAAAACTGTTTCTTATTTATTTTTTTTTTTTTTCTTAATTTCTTTTATACATCGTCCTAGCTTTATAGAACATGTGGCAACGATTAGATAATTCTTTAAATGATACAAATTTTGTGCATTCTAAGTTATAATATGAACGAAATATAATACTGTTAAGTGAACCTAGTGTCGCTATGGTAAACAAATAGAGTGAATTTTAAAGAATGCACTTATTTTATTGCGGTTTATGCGCTGTCGGCGAAGTAGATATAATTAAATCCAATAAGTTTAAACAAAATGCAAGAAAAAATGCGTATAATTTAATATTCCGTACAAGGAAGTCACGTGGTGTACACATCAGATTTTTTTTCTTTGCGAAACAAATGTACAAGAAATCTATCGGACGATTTTTCGCATGGAAAATGTTCGCCAATTATCAATCTGAATGTTGTCTCTAAGGCAAGATTCTCCAGATCTTCCGTCTTTCTCCAGCATCGTCTGTTTAAATTCTTATATGCAGCTTGTCGCAAAAAGCAATATTTTGGGTTAGAAATAAAAGAATTCTGATAGTTTTTCTTACTTAGTTACTGACGGGTATGACAGAGACATAAGTTTTAGAAAAGGTTTCTAATTTTAAGATTTCTTCCCCTTCTAACTAGACGTCAGGTTTCTCCCACCGAATCTTATTTGAAATGTTTTCTCCCTCTGAACAAGATATGTACATAAACTTTCATTGGGATGGCAGCCAACAGTCGTTTTGAATAAAAAAAATTATTGTGTTTCATGATCTAACAATTACTGTTTGAACAATAATATTCGAAAATCTGTAATATCATCGTGCAATAAAAGCACCGTAAATATTTCGAGAATGCCAATGGAAATCATAGATAGGTTTGAACCATAAATTTACCTTCGAGAGAGAAGACAGCGATGATGAAATGTCGTGCATAATTTTCTTTTTGGCAAAGATCCGTGTCCTATTATCACCACTGGACATGGTTTCCATGGACGAAGTTCGAGATGACTGGCGCACAGTGTCTTGACTTTTGTGTTCTACGTGGACTCCTTCTAAATCTAATAATTGCGATAAAGAAGCTGTACGCTCCGGTCTCAGATCCTGTAAAACAAATTTTTTATTAAAACGTGCTTCTAATTAGCGAAATCAGCATCTACATATCAGATTTAATTGTTTCATATATTTCAAGCCTTTAATTTTACACTACATATACATCCATTGTCCAAATACCCCTAAAAATGTTCACGTGTAGGGACACTAATTTCTTTTTTTTTTTTTTTTTTTTTTTTTTTTTTTCCCGCGAGCAGAGGAAACGAAAATTCGCCTGTCCTCGGCAACATTTGAATTGTGGATCTCCTAATTTATAGTTGCAGTGTTATTACTTACACCATGACGTACGTGCGAGGAAATTTTATAATAGTTTCTAATAGTATTCTACTCCGCTTAAAGGGCAATTGAAGAGAGGCCACCAACTCTAAGTCGTGAGGAATTATCATCCACCGCATTTTACTTGGTCTGCAAATGTAGGGATTATAAGATTTTTTTAAGCGGAAAATATGAAAAATCAAATGCGTCCTAGCTGAGATTTGAAATACGGATCTTCCAATTGATATCTGGTCATATTACCACTTATACCACTACAGAGCACGTCAGAGAAATATTATACCTTGTACGTATGCGTGCATCTCTATGACAATTTAGGTCCAGCATCACTGGACAGATAGTTTGATAGCTTTTTCGGAGCTAGGAAGCTTAAGAAACTAACTATGCTCGGAATCTTTAGTCCTTCCCTTCTAGCTAGACGTGTTAACTGCTTACATCTAAATGATGGATAAGGAAGGATTCCATAATTTCTAGGAAAGTTATCTGTAGATCAGTGCGATTCACCCGCTCTGTAACCTACGCACATTATGCAATTTGATAATTTATTTGTATTTGTAACTCTATAATGTAACTATAAAAAAGAATAGTAATTTCTATGGATTATCACAACCGATGAGTAAATAGAATGGATTGGAATTCATTACGTAAAAAAAGCTGTTGAATAATTTAACTACTATATTTCAGTTGAAAAGTACGCCTATGGCCTTATCTTAATTTGTAAGAGCTTATCCATTCTTATTTAACATTCAGTCTAAAAGTATTCAGATTATCGGGCTTTAAAAGCAGATGCAGAGCGGTTAGAGTTAATAATAATTCATAATAATTTGAGTAGAATGTATTTGTGATCTTTATCAGCTTTTGTTATGTGACTGTGCAGTGACCAATTAACCATTGGGAATGAACTTTAGTGAAAGTAAAAAAAAAAAAAGCTGTTCTTTTCGAGAGCTCCTTGAATTAGGTGTTATTCGCCCGAAATAAGAAAACCCTATTTCGCTAAATTTGGATATTGCAGGTTGTGATTCTGGATCAGTGGTGTTCAACTGGTTTTGCCTCAAAGGCTACTTTTAAATTTTTGCTATGCCTCACGGGCATCCGGTGTTTTATGTTTAGAAAATAACAATTTCGCTAGAATATGTGATTTCACTCGATAATTTTATGTTATCAAATAATAAGGAAAATTAATACGAACCTACCAAAAAAGAAAGTTACCTTATTTTGACAGTAAAGCATTAAGTTATGAACTTGATATTAAGGAAACGTTTGATTATTAATATTCTCTGACAACTTATTAAATTTTGGTGTATATTCGGATACACAAGCCAGCACCATGATGTTTTTCCATGCTCTGTTATCAATATATTTCTGTACTTGCTTTTTATTATTTTAAATTGTGAGGAAGCCTGCTCAAGATGTAGGTTGACCAAAAAAATGCTTTCGTTTTGTTTTGGTGGGATTTTTATTTAATAAGCACAATTAGTTTAAAAACTTAATCACTTTTGTTTTCTATGATTTTTAGTGTTAAGAAGAGTAAAAAAATCTCTAATTCAGCCTCCGACTTGTTAAGAAAACAAAAATTTTTTATTGAAAAAGTAACCTCTGTCACTTCTAATTATAAGGAAGGATTTTTTGTCTACAATAAAATGGAACCCATAGAAAATATATCTTAGAATCTTCTTTAAATTCTGAGCTGAGCAACAGAAGGTTTTTTCAGCATTCTTAGACGCATTATACTCTAGGAAAAATTCCGGGTCTAGAATGAGGGAAAGTGATGATAGTCTTTCTCCAATAAAAGTTATTCTTAGACAAATCGAAATTAGCCAGAAAAGCAAATATTGAGCTCATCATTTCAAATACGTAGCTTTTCATTGTAGCGTGTTATTAGAACGCTGAGTTTCCCAGTGATATCGGTTAAAATACCAAGTAAGCAAGAATTTCCCTTTCATCCAATTTTTGGTCATAATTGTGTTTAGATACGGAAAAAGTTCTAATCTCAGACAGTTTGCAACAAATTTTGTTAAAACCTTTCCTGATTCAGCCACTTACTTCTACATGGTAAGTTATGTTAGCAAATTATTACAAAGTTTTAAAATATCAATAATTCAAAATCCGTTCCTGGATAAAATTTACAGTGTGTACAAGAATAGTCATTATGTGATTGAGGTTAAGCTTCTATAAATCAGATTTTCTCGATGAATAACGCAGTGGTATGAATTAAATTTGAAAAATGAGTCTTTCTGCTTACAGAGCCCAACAAACCCAGTATTATTCCCAATAATAGCCTTTTTTTTAGCCCTAAGGGCGTTAGCCCGGAAGGGATAGTAATTTCATTTTGGCATTTTGCGTCGATTCACTATAAACGGCGAATCATTTTTTAAGTTGTTACAACCAAATATTATCGCCCTGTATTATATTTAAAGAAATTAAATAATGAAGAATCTGCATAAATGTATGTATGTTTCTCGCATTGTTATGAAGCAACGGTACCTAGAGCCATAAAATTTTGAACACCGTAAACCTCCACCAAATATGGGTATTTGAAAGGCCTAAATTGGAATTTGTTTGATTATCGATTTCATATTTTGTCAGACATTAAGGAATTTTTGATTAGCAAACTCAACAATTTCAAAGCAAGCAGTGGCAACACTGTGCGGGGGGGGGACCATTTTATCTCCAGAGCGCGAGACTGTGTATCGGAAATTCTAAAGATATGCTCATTTTAAAATTATTTTGCGATATTGCTGTTGAGTTGAATTTTATAGTTTAAGTGCGAAATATTGAATATTGAATAAATAAAGGTAACATACAAATAAAAAAAGGCTTTTTGGGCATAATGTAAAATCTGAAAGCTTTCAGATTTTTTTAAAATTCTTATTACGTTCTCTTCTGTAATACAGTTTTCAATTGCGCCATCTCGAATGCGATTTGATAAAATCAGTATGGTAAACCAGATTTCTTTTACGCAGAAGTCTGGCACACCATTCTCGTAAACATCAGAAGTTGCGGTGGGTCAGTAACGTTATTGGACTCATCAAACTGCAGGGGAAAATACGCATATTTTCTAAATCAGATCTCATTTGTTTATACATATCGATCTCCATATCATCCACTCGTCGTGTCGTGCCACCGTATTTCGCGACAGAAGAACATTTTTTATAGCTAAGATTATTTTATTTTTGCTTTATAAATTCGTGAAATAAAGACACTGGCAGCATAACTTCGTTCACAATCGCTCCGGCTGAAAATGCAGTTTTATAAATTTTGTGACGCAAGAATGTAACTTTAAAGGATGCTTCTTTGCGATCTTTGCTTCATTTTTGAAAAGAAAAAGACTGCTCTGTTGATATTTAAAAAAAAAGAAAGGAACCTAAGTGGATGTTGAAAACTTTTATTGTTTTTAAGAAGACGTTCAATATTCCATCGCTTTGGTACCACTACTGAAGCACAGCGTAATAAACAGCTTTTCCACTAACGGTTTGTAAGCAATAGGTCTTCCTCCTATTTGTTGTTAAAGTGGTAGATTTCTTTTCTTTTCGATGGCCCTGGTACATCACTCGCGTCGACAAGCATACCATAAAATATATGAAATAAATGAAGTGTTATTTTAAAACTCGTCTGAAACACAGCAGTTTGGTAAGCGCCACAGTGAACTTTTATCAACTTATTTCAAATGAACTGATGCCTGAAGACCATCGACGCATGGCTGGATGGATGGTATCGATGGTTCATTTTTTGCGCAGACGTGCAGGGGCGCCAGCAGCGACTTGGGTTTGTGTGATGCATTCTTATCCTAATCCGCCACGCAGATAAAAACCGCGAAATCGGGACAGAATGAATGCTAATAGATGAACATAAATGCAAAACCCTTGTATGTGACTTGTTATTGTACCTTTTTTTATGATTGTTTTTAACATTAGGATTAGAGTAAAGCTTTTGTCTCCCGGTGATATGGTGATTGCGGCTGGAGGGTGCTTAACGATAGGATTATGGCAACCACACACCCTTCAGTTGGATACTACTGCTCTAGACTGTAAATAGCAGTAGTGATTTTCAGTTGCACAAATTTATATCGCTGTTTACCAATGAAAATTTAGTCCTCTGTTACCTATCTGTGTGATAATTTGCTAAATTGGAATTTTGAGTTCTTTGAGACTTCCTGATAATAAAGGTGATTTAAAATGTTTGATCCAGTTTCAAATGAGCATGAGTCTGTACCACTTCTGAGAAAAACCTGTTTGAGAAAATGAACTGCAGAAGAGAAAGTGAACAGGCTGTTCTGTGCAGTGCAAGATGGCTGTTGTTCCGACTAAAAACAAGATAATCGTGCAGTTGTTAAATGGCCAAAAGTAGAATGGCAAAATATTTTATAACATATCTTCTCTATGTTACCCTTTCTTAAGCTAAATCATCATTCTTTTTACAGTTCTGAGAACACGCTGTAGTGACAATGTTGTCCACATACCTTCAGGATACGGAAACTTACACTGTTCTTGCTATGAAGACAATAGCAAGGAACATATTGGAGCAACTGCAATTAGAATTTAATAATAATCTTGATATTCAACTGGTAACTAGAGGAAGTTACATATACAAGTTATGGAAAATAAAACTTGGAGAGACTCCTTTTTATTTTATATATTACTTGTCCTTCTGTGTTTATAAATAATATTACAAATAAAGCCATTTGAAATCAGTAATTTATCTTGAAAATGTATAGTATTCTTAATGGAAATATGAAGAGGTTTACAAAGTTAAAAAAAATATTCCCTATGGGCATCTTTTTTTCGATTGCTGAATAACTGTTCAATGATACAATGATATCAAGAAGCTACTCTTACCTCTTCTTTCTCATCCAAAATATCATCGAAGGAAAACCTCCGGTCACCAGAGCTGAGCTTGAAAGGTGCTTCGTTGTTGCTCGTCAGGCTGTAACTCCTCGTAAAATTACGAAGCAGTTCCTCTTTCTTCTTGGACAACGTGGTGGAGTCCGTTTTGCTTAGCTTCTCAGAGCTCGATGAGTAAGTGGAAGTAGTTAGAGACACGGTGCTCATTACAGCACACCGGCCTTGGACGCTTTGAAATAACGCAGCTGTGTCACCGTTCTCTAAATCGGGCGGGAATTCGGGAACCTGTAAGGTAAGAATTGCTGTAATGACATATGTACAGAAATATGCCAATATCAGATTTAAATAAAGTTAAATTTTGGTCCACAATTAAACCCAGGCACACGTCATTAATCGGTTCAGATCCCTAGACGTATACCAGACGAATTTTTCCAATAAAGGGAAAATAATTAATCCGTTCAATAAAAAATTCCTATTGTTATTATTATAATACTAAACTGGGGTGAAATACATATTGTACATAAATGATGCATTGTCCATGATACGGTACATAAATGTTGTTCTGTTATCCAGATCAAAAGCGATTTTTCAAAGTCTCTCATCTCTGTTTGATACTTAATTTGACCACCTTCGGAACGTGAGCCGATTTAATAGCGTCTTTATTTTTCACAGTTGTGCACACTATCGTACTCGCCATACGGTATGCAATAGTCAAGTCTCAGAAACGCATGCCTTCTTTATACTTTTCAAAGGTCCATTTTCTCACCTTCATGGTGATCCTAACAATTTTCTTCGTTGCTTATCTTCGTTAATTAACTTTCTTAAAACTCATTGCTAATAAATTTGCAAAACAGCCGTACTGACGTTCATTGACAGTCTTGGCATTGTCCAAAAAGAAGTAAATAAGTGAAGTGCGAACATTCGCGACTTTCGTGCGATAAATAAGTGAAGTGCGAACATTCGCGACTCGAGTTCGATGAATGTAAGAACATTATACATTCATCGAACTCGAGTCATATTTCAAATAAAAATTTTCCCGTCCACACACGACGTATACCAATTTGAACGTATTGCAAAGCTAACGTATACTGAGGTACCACTGTAGTTTCAATTAGTCCTTTTACGAAATATTTGTTTATGCTGATTCCAAAATTCTTTGTTTTGCGTGAGTTCGAAGAGCTCCGTATCCCATCTTTAAACACACAAACATACCAAAGGATAGATGTTACCATAGAGATATTAAGCAATTTTTAGAAACTGTCCACATTCACATTACGCAGGTACCGATAGAAGCTAGGCCACCGTCTTAAGCAGACGGTGGCCTAGCCACCATATGTGATTGAGGTATTGCTGTACCTAGCTAAATTGTTAAGCTTCAGCCCAGTTTGGAATTCCGAGGTAAAACACTTCGGGAGGCAGTCCGAAGATCTTCCATCCTTCTACCGCTACCACCAACCTTTCGAGAGAATTTCGGCTCTCGCCTATTTTGAGTGCTCTCTTTCAGCACAGACACCATACGCTGATAAACATCCATATCTTCTCCATCATTCGAACCAGGCGATTCGGTAAGGCAAGTCAACATCACTAGCCATTGCCCTGTCTGGGCGGTGTTCACGTTTGAGGCAAACCACGAAAACCAACCATGCAATTAGTCCATTCTCCTGCGTTCAAATCACCCCTCGGCCACTGATAAGCCTGCTTAAGGGGGATGCTTTCGTTAAGGATATTCTAAGACAACAGTTTCGTGTTCAAGTTACGCATGGGAAATGTTCAAAAATTGTATGCAGCCAACCCATCCGTTATAAACCATACCATCACAAGCAGCCACTATTATTCACTCTGCCAATGGTGGACATGGATATTAAAGAAAAAACAAGGAGTATACAACTTATTATTTAGTTGTTGCTAAGCAAAATTTTCGAAGTCAGGAACATCTCTTAAAAGGCAAGCATTACTTAATCATATCGAAAGGGATTATTTGTTGCATTTATATTAAGGATGAAAAAAAAAAAAAAAAAAAAAAAAAAAAAAAAAAAAAAAAAAAAAAAAGAAAGAAAGAAAATGAAGAAGCCATAAAATTCATTGTATTTAACAAAATTCAAACCGGCAATGGAAACATGCTTGGATAATTTTTTAGAAAGTCAAACGGCTTCAGTCATATTTAGTTTATGTCAATACTATTTATTATTATTACTATTATTATTCATTATTATATTATTATTTACGTCAATACTATTATTATTTATTATCATATTATATAGTCATATTTAGTTTACGTCAATATATAATATGCCTAATAATAGGCAAATTATGTAAAATGCTTATTTTAATTAATGTTTGCTTGAGTTACTATTTATTGTTATTTTAATTATTATTCCTAGCGTTAGCACTGACATCAACATCTTGGTTAACATAATTGAGAAAGGTAAAAGGAAAACAAATGGCGGAAAAAAAAAGAAGGTCGGAAAAAATTACGTGTGCGGCATGGATGTGTAGCTGCAGCTGGCGGTAATCCAAAAATAATAATTACGTCCTTTCTTACTCGTAAAAACACTTGAAAAATTAACTTCAATAATACATTTTATTTTAAATGTTTTGGTTCTTCTTCTCCTTCTCCCTTTATTTTTCATTTGTTGTTGTTGCACTGAAGTACTAAAAAAGTGATTATAATACAAACACACCCAGCTGGTCAATGTTTACGATTGCAAATAATGTTTTCGAAAATGAGAGTAATCAAAAATGAGCCGAGAGAGATCATAGAGCAGTCAAAAAAAAAAAAAAAAAAAAAAATTCCCTCCGTGCTCTCGACATTAGTTAACATCAATATTAACACGTCAAAAAATTATTCGAGACATTGGGAACTGAAAACAAGATTTGAACGTTGTATGGAACACAGGTAGTTTGGTTGTTCATTTTAATTTAAAGTATTATTCGATTCGTTAGCCTTACTAATATCTTTAGAATTCCTATAAAGTATAAAATGCTGCCGTACATCTGTAAACATTTATTACATAAACATCTTCATTAAAAATTGTAAAATACAGAGACACTAAATACAGTTAAAACAGTTAAAAAAACAATTTTGACCAAAAAAATTAGAATTTCTACCCCAAAACAAAGCAATTCGGCCAGCGGGCAAGAAGGCATATTTTTCGGTGTACAAACTGAAAGTTTACCTTTGGTCCCACTCGTCGAAAAGACACTGAATGTGCAAAAACTGTTATAATTCTCTGTTCTGCTAAGTTTCAAATGTAAACAAATATGGCTGCTATGGTAATAAAAACTACGCTTAGCCGCAATTAAACACCTTTTAAATTGTTGATAAATCTACAACTATTCTATGCAGATTAACTAAAGGCATAAAAACCTTAACAGGAAGATAAGAATAACATAATTCAGTCATTAATGAGCATAGCTTTAGAATTTCGATACACAATCTCGGGGTCTGGAAATAAAAATGTTTTTTTCCGCACAGTGTTACCATTCCTCGCTATGAAACCGTTGAGTTTGTTAATAAAAAATTAATATCTTACAAAATATGAAATAGATAATAAAACAAATTCCAAATTTGGACTTTCAGATGCGAGTGGAGAACTCCGTTATTCAAAATTTGACGACTCTAGATAAGTTGCTTTTTCACAGTGCGAGAAACATACATACATTTGTGCAGATTCTTCATTATTTAATTTCATTAAATATAATACAGGGCTTTAATATTTGGTGGCAACAAAATGAAACGTGAACCGACATTTATAGTGAACCAACGCAAAATGCCAAGACGAAATTAATAGTCCTTCTAGGTAAATTGCCACTTTGGACTAAAGAGAGGGGAAAATAAAACTGAAAACATGTTAGATATGTAAAAAAATTCGATTATATATCAAGTGAAAAGGTTAAAGGAATGCTAAGTATGAAAAAAAAAAGTATCTTTAAAGGAACTATAAGGTATTTCTCCCGCCTTCTTAGCTTGACTTCATGGTATAATAGTCAGCACGCCCGACGCGTATTCGAGAGATCCGTGGTTCGAATCACTAATAATTTTTTATGTCTTCTGCTTCCAAAAACATCCTAATGTTTCTACAGTGGGGCCCAAACTAAAAAAGATGATGGATGATGATGCTTCACCATCAGGATTTAGCGATTGGGGTCCCCTAATCATCAGTCGCCCTTGCCCTTTAAAATGGGGAGTATATAAGGTATTTCTTCCGCCTTCCTAGCATGCCTTCGTGGTGTAATGGTCAGCGCGCTCGACGAGTATTCGATAGGTCCGTGGTTTGAATCCCGGCGAGGGCATTGCACATTTTTCACCTCTCTCAAGCATAAAAAATCCTAATGTCTCTACATAAAAAAAAAAGTAAAAATGACAGAGATATCGCAAAAATCGATTATGCATCGAATACATGAGGTTCTGGTAATAAATGAAAACAATCAAAATGCAAATTATTAATAAGTGAAATGAATGCATTTTGTTGTATAGCGATCATCCATACTTACGGAAACTAAAAATTTATTTAGGAACATAAGTAATATTTAAATAGGAGAATAAGAATAATAAACAGAAAATTAATAAAATTAACAAAAAAATTTTATAAAATTTTATTTCACAGCAGTCATCTTAATTAATTTCTACACTTCTTTGTAATTCCTCCCACCTACTTTTCTTGATGTACTTAGAATATCGACTTTTAATATCATCCACTTCTATTCCACTAAAGTTTTTTTTTTTTTTTTTTTTTTTTTTAAACTGGAATTTAGATTTAGGACAAAGAATTAGTTTTCTTTGAAATGTTTATTTCTTCGACTGAATAAGACGCCATCTTATTTTATCTGTAGTGATACGGAGACTAAAAAATTCGTTCAAAATGAAAATGAAACCGCAGATCTTATACTTTATATATGACAGAGTTCCAAATACCTGAAAAAAATAGAACTATACATCATTCGATTTATCGGAAAATATGGATAATTGTATTACGTTTTTTTTTTTTTTTTTTTTTTTTTTCCGCACTTCCTGCCATATCAATGAATCAATTTGTTTTTTTTTTTTTTATCATATGTTAATTCAGCAAAAATTGTACAGTTGAAAAAAGATTACCTTTGTTTTTAAGCAAGAAAACTGAAATTATAGAAATAAAGGCTGCTGTTGGTAAGACAAATATTTTTAAATGACATAGCATCATTATATTGGTTTAGTTAATGTTTAGGAATGGAACAATTATTGTGTTCGAGCAATGTGTCAGGGATCAAGCAAACAAATATTAGCTGTAAACAGAAGATTTAATTGT